ATCCGTTCCCGGTCGGGGCACAGGCCCGGGTGGCGGGCTCCGTCCCCAGCAGGGGGCGTGCGGGAGGCAGCCGGTCCGTGACGCGCTCCCGTCAGCCACGGGCCCTCCCCGCCTCCCTCGGGACGTCCCGCCAACCCCCCTGCCTCTCGCCGCAGGTGGGCCGCGTGGGGCGGCTGGGCCAGAGGGGCACGGCCATCACCTTCATCAACAACCAGGCGCGGCGCCTCTTCTGGGACGTGGCCAAGCGGGTGGAGCCCACGGGCTCCCTGCTGCCGCCCCAGCTGCTCAACTCGCCGTACCTGCGCGACCAGCAGCGGCGGGAGCAGCAGGGCGCCCGGCAGGCCCAGAACCCGCTGGTCACGGGCGCCAACCTCATGGACATCATCCGGAGGCACGACAAGAGCCAGGCCCAGAAGTGAACGTCGCGCCCACCTCCGTCCGTCCCCCGGACACGACCGGCGCAGCCCCGGGACCTCCTGTGCGTCCGGACCTGCAGTTTGAGGAACCGGGACGAGGACGCGAAATAAAAACGGAAAAGAAATTGGGGGGCGGTTTAGACAAATTTCTTTTTATTTATGTATTTATATTTTTTAAGGGCTGGGGAGGGGACATCTATAATACTTTAAAAAAAATATATATATATATATATATATATTTTATTGATTCTTTACAGACAGAAAGGGGGAGGGAGAGAGAGTTAGGAACATCGATGAGAGACATCAGCTGCCTCCTGCACACCCCCCACTGGGGACGTGCCCGCAACTGAGGTCCATGCCCTTGACCGGAATCGAACCCGGGACCCTTCAGTCCTCAGGCCGACGCTCTATCCACTGAGCCAAACTGGTTAGGACCATGTATAATACCTTTAACAATGAATTTCAATTAAAATATTTTTTCTGCCTGGCCACAGTTGCTCAGTGGGTGGAGCACCGAACTAGGAGCCAGGAGGTCCGGGTTCGATTCCCGGTGGGGGCACAGGCCCGGGTTGCGGGCTCCATCCCCAGTGGGGGGCGTGCAGGAGGCAGCCGGTCCGTGATCCTCTCTCATCATGGACGTTCCTCCCTCTCTCCCTCTCGGACATCCATCAGTAAATTTAGAAGGAGATGCCCCTTTCGGAGGCAGGCTGAGCGGCACTCTGGCTGTGCTTCCCGCTGACCGCACGGCCACGGCGCCCGCTCGCCCGGGAGGCAGCCTGGGCCGGGCGGGCGGGCGGGCGGGCGGGCGGCGGCAGGTCATTCGAGGTGAGCGTCCTGGCTGGGCCGCCCGCCCGTAAGCCGACTCCGGGGAGACAGGGCCCTTTGTTGTCCCGGAGCGTGACCCCGCGGCCGGGCTGCTGCTGACACCGGCCGGGGTAATTAGGTGAGCGGCCGCGCCCCGCCCCGCCGGGCCCCTCGCGGTCCCTGGTGCGCCGTGTGGCACGTGCGGCCTCCGGCACCGAGGGGCGGGCGTTCGCCATCCATACACGTTCACACCGAGCCGTTCACAGCCGCCGGCGCGGCTCAGCGGTGGAGCGTCGACCTGGGAACCAGGAGGGCAGGGCTCGATTCCCGGTCGGGGCACAGGCCCGGGCCGGGGGCTCCGTCCCCAGTGGGGGGCGTGCAGGAGGCAGCCGATCTGTGATTCTCTCTCATCATGGGTGTTTCTCTCTCTCCCTCTCTGGAATCAATAAAAATATATTTTAAGAAGAGATAAAAAGGGAGAACTCTGTGACCACGAACCCTCTCCCTCGCCTCCTCCCTTCCCCCCCAAATCCTGTGCAGAGTGGGGAATCGGGGGGCACAGACAGGCACCCCTCGCTGCCCGCTCCCAGCCCCCCTGCGGGCGTGCACCATCCTCATTTAAGGTGACCAGACGTCCCGCTTTTGGCGGGACAGTCCCGATTTTCAACAATTTGTCCCGCGTCCCGCTGCGTTTTTAAAAAGTCCCGATTTTTGGAAAGATTTTTGGAATCGTGACTTTTTTAAAACACCTCGGGACGCGGGACAAATTGTTAAAAATCGGGACGTCTGGTCACCTTATCCTAATTACCCCGGCTGGGCGGGCGGGCTGGCGGGAGGGCGGGCGCCTGGGACACAGCGGCCGCATTGAGGCCCCCGTGTCCCCAGGAGAGAGGTAGGGTTTCGGATGCGCCCGGGAGGACGCGGGGTATCGGGTGCCGCGTTCCAGGAACGGGCCAGGTGCCTGACGCTCCGAGCCGTCCAGGGAACCGGGCGGGAACGGCGCTGCGGACACTCAGCCCCCACGGCTGGAGGTCCGGTGTGGAGCCCCACGGAATTGCGCGCCGAGAGGAGGAGAGAGCCGGGGGCTAGACCACTGCGACCTCTTTTGTTTTTGTTTGAAATATATTCGATCTAGTCCTGACCGGTGTGGTTCAGTGGATAGAGCGTCGACCTGCGGAATGAAGGGTCCTGGGTTCGATTCCGGTCAAGGGCATGTGCCTTGGTGGCGGGCGCATCCTCAGTGGGGGGTGTGCAGGAGGCAGCTGATGGATGTTTCTCTCTCATCGATGTTTCTAACTCTCTATCCCTCTCCCTTCCTCTCTGTAAAAAAATCAATAAAATATATTAAATTAAAAAAAAAAAAAAGAATCCCGAGGGCAGTTCTCTCCATCTTTGCTGAACCCTAGCGCTCCCTCGATGTACAGGCGGGTTACCCAGGAGGCCCTGGGTTGACAGTGGCTTTCCGACTCTTACCAATCTTCCCTGGATCGGACCCAGCATGACTCAGAGAGGAAAGAGCTCCTGGGACACTCACTCAACCCCGAGCGCTCCTCCGTCCATTTTAAAAGGGATGACTAGCCGAAGCCGGCGTGGCTCAGTGGATAGAGCGTCGGTCCGCGGACTGATAGGTCAAGGACATGTACGTTGGTTGCGGGCATATCCCCGGTAGGGGGTGTGCAAGAGGCAGCTGGTCGGTGTTTCTCTCTCATCGACATTTTTAGCTCTCTATCTCTCCCTTCCTCTCTGTAAAAAAAAAAATAAAAATCAATAACATAAATTTAAAAATAAGATAAAATAAAATAAAACAATATATATATTTAAAAAAAGGGGATGACCAGCTTCCAGGAACGGCCTCTCCTCCGGTGACGGGCAGGCTTGGTCTGCGGGCTTGGGTTGCGTCACCGAGTGGTCACGACGGAATTCTTGAGGGTCTCACCAGCCGGGCAGACCACAGCGTGCAGGCGCACGCTCCCAAGGTCCCTGGCCGGGCACGTGTTGGCATTTAGAAAGAAAATACAGAACCTGCCCCATGTAAACTGGCCTCTGTGTGTAAGGCTGGCGGACACCTGAGAACCACAAGAGTCTCAGTCGCACCAAAGACGCGGCAGTAAAAATGCAACTCAGCACGAACTCCTGCAAAGCAGGACAGTACAGCCCACGTTTTAGCAAACGAAAAAGTACGAAGTTGAGTAAACTGCAATACATCTGTATCCCCAGGGACTGTTAAATGGCCCGAGTGAAGGTTTTCCTGTGCCCCTTAACCTAATCTAAAAGGCTTCCAATGGGTTTGAATCATTAAAAAAAAAAAGGGGGGGAAAGCCGAAACTGGTGTGGCTCAGCGGATAGAGTGTCAGCCTGCGGACTGAAGGGTCCCAGGTTCAATTCTGGTCAACGGCATGGACCTTGGTTGCGGGCATATCCCCAGTGGGGGAAGTGCAGGAGGCAGCTGATCAATGTGTCTCTCTCACTGATGTTTCTGGCTTTCTATTCCTCTCTGTAAAAAAAAAAAAAAAAAAATCAATGATTAAAAAAAAAGGACAATAAAACATTTTTTAAAAAAATTGGTTTCAGAGAGGAAGGGCGTAGAGAAACATCAATGGTGAAAGTCCTGGATCAGCTGCCTCCTGCACGCTCCCCCCACTTCCCACCAAGGATGGAACCCACAACCCGGGCATGTGCCCTCCCCAGGAGTTGAACTGTGACCTCTTAGTCCATAGGTTGACGCTCAACCACTGAGCCAGGCAGGCAGGGCCTCTTCTGACGTCTTCCCATGCGTTTTCTTCCAGTTTGTCTCCCTCTGGTGGATTTTTTTAAAAAAGGTTTGCTTTTATTTTCAGAATAACTGGGAATTATTTGGGACCGTGAAGAGGGAAGAAGATTTTGATGTAGGGAGATCCCTGGGATGGAGGAAGCTGAGGCCAGAATGCAGGTGTGGGGACCCCCGTTACTCTGAGGCCAGAGCTAAGCAGAGGCTTAACCCCAGGGAAGAGTTGGCAGCTGGTGGCGAAGGAGGTTGGAAACTAAGAAAAAATGGCCAACAAGGTTGGTAGCTGCCTGCAGATGCAGTTGGTTTCTGAGGTCGTCCATTTATAGAATCCGGTTTCGCGCAACCATCTCGCATTTCCATATACGCACGCCGGCTACTGCAGCTCTCACAGATACTTGACAGTTGCCTGTGTTCGGTTAAAATATTTGTCAATTATATTGACGTATAGCAACCAGTCACATTTCATTTATTTATTTTAAAATTATTTTTCTATTGATTTCAGAGTCGAAGGGAAAGAGAGAAAAATATCAATGAAAGCCTGACTGGTTTGGCTCAGGGGCTAGAGCGTCGGCCTGCGGACTGGGGAGTCCCGGGTTCGATTCTGGTCAAGGGCATGGACCTTGGTTGCGGGCACATCCCCAGTGGGGGGTGTGCAGGAGGCAGCTGATGGATGTTTCTCTCTCAATATTTTTTTTTCTTTTCTAAAATATATTTTATTGCTTTTTTACAGAGAGGAAGGAAGAGGGAGAGAGAGTTAGAAACATCCATAAAATATGTTTAAAAATCAAAACAAAATACACATCCAGTCCAGGGCCAGGCGGGTCCAGCGTTCAGATGCCCCAGCGACCCAGCCTGCGGGCGCTTCCGGGGGGCGGGAGGACGCAAAGGCGTGGCGCCGACGCGACTGTTCAGCAGCCAATCAGAAGGCGGGGCCGGCGCGACGTCAGCGGCAAGGCCAGTCCGATTGCCACCTCCGGCAGCCAATCAGGAGAAGGCGGCGCCGACGAGGCCTCAGCCGCTCATCAATACGCGACGCCCGGCAGCCAATCAGAGCGCGGCTTCCGGTAGCCAATCAGAAGGTGGCGCGCCCGGTTCAAATTGTGGGCAGCGGGCAGCGGGCGGTGAGTGTCGCGGACACAGGGTCCGGCCTTCTCAGCGGTGGGGGGCGTGCGAGGTGGGGTGCCCCGTGTGGGGGTGCGGCCCCGTGTGGGGGTGCCCCGTGTGGGGGTGCGGCCCTGGGGGGTGCGAGGTGGGGGTGCCCCTGTGAGGGTGCGAGGTGGGGTGCCCCTGTGGGGGTGCGGCCCTGGGGGTGCGGGCGGCGGTCTGGGCTCAGGGCCTCCATGGAGTCCAGGGAGGAAGACCGGGCCCGGCGGCCGGACCTCAGGCCCCGGACAGTCTCTCCGCCCTCGCCGTGACCCTCTGAGCCCGGAACCGCGGGGAGGCCGCCGGGGAGGGGGTGGGGGGCGGGGACTGCTCTCCCTGGGGTCCGGGCCGGTCCGAAGGAGAACCTGCCGAACCCCCCACCTGTGGGTGGGAGCCGCGACGAGTCCAGCTGCGGCGGAATCGCCAGCCTCTCCGGGTGTCTGCCCAGGAGGAGGGCTGCCTGAGAGGCTTACGTCCTGGGTGTGGTTTACTGAGACCTTTAGAAAGACTTCGCTAAAAATTAACTCCTGGTGTTTTCGTTCTTTTTTAAAAAAATATATTTTTAATTGATTTCAGAGAGGAAGGGGAAAGGGAGAGAAAAAAGAGAAAGAGAAGCATCAGTGATGATAGAATCATTGATTGATCGGCTGGTTGGCTGCCCCCCCTCCTGGGGATTAAGGCTGCAACCAGGCAGGACATGTGCCCTGACCGGCAATCACACCGTGGCCTCCAGGTTCAGAGGTTGGTGTTCAGAGGTGCCTCCTCCTTTTCTGAACCCGGCCGGTTCTGAGCTGCTCATCGAAATTTATTCTCATGTGTTCTTATGTCATGACAGGTTCTCATGTCTTCAAAGCCTCTTTGTGGTCTGTGCAATCTAATTTTTTTAATTTTTTTGTAACTTAACAGATACTTTTGGAAACGGATAGGCTGGACGTCGAAGGAGCATCCAGAGACAAGCGTAGAGGCTTCAACAACACCCTTTATTTTTATTTATTTATTTATTTATTTTATCAACAACATCCTTTATTTTTATTTTTTATCAACAACATCCTTTGAGAGTCGCTCGCCGCCGCCATGTCAGTCTCCAGGGCACACCGAGGGGGCGGCGGCGGCCTCCCCGGGGCTCCCGACTCCCTTAGGAGCTCCTCCCGGCACGGCCTGGGCCCAGACGGCAGCTTGAAGCAGCCTTCGGGCTCGGACGGGTCAGAGCGTGAGAACGACGACCCGCTCCTGGGCTCCGCCAAGAAACTCAGGGGCATCAATAGCACTTACGTCATTTCCGCCTGCAGGACCCCCGGAGGGGCGGCCCTCACTCCCAACCCTGCCGGCAGACTGACCCTGCAGAGGAGGGCCACAAGGCACAAGGACTCTTCGCTGCTGGGGAGTGAGGGGGGAGAGGCGTCCGCGAGAAAGACAGAAACGCCTCTTAGGTTACAGCGTCGCGTTCGAGCAGATTCCGTGGGCAGGCGGGCAGCAGCTGGAGCAGATCCCGTGGGCAGGCAGACAACAGCTGGAGCAGATCCTGTGGGCAGGCAGGAAACAGCTGGAGCAGATCCCTTGGGCAGGCAGGAAACAGCTGGAGCAGATTTCGTGGGCAGTTGGACATCAGCTAGAGCAGATTCCGTGGGCAGGCAGACGACAGCTGGAGCAGATCCCTTGGGCAGGCAGGAAACAGCTGGAGCAGATCCCTTGGGCAGGCAGACGACAGCTGGAGCAGATCCCTTGGGCAGGCCGGAAACAGCTGGAGCAGATCCCTTGGGCAGGCAGACGACAGCTGGAGCAGATCCGGTGGGCATTCGGACAGCAGCTGGAGCGGATTCAGCGACCCAGAGCGTGGGAGGGGCCGCAGCCAGCGATGGAGCCTCCCGGGACGCCAGCAGGAGCGTCAGGATTGCCGACAACAAGAAAAGCTCCCCGGCTGCGTCTTCGGCCTCCTCCGCCGGAGACAGCGACCCCGGACTGGGGGCCGGGGACGAAGACGGGGGAGCGTTTTCCGCCCTGGCGGGAGCGCGGGGCAGCGGGCACTTCACTCACAGCACGCCCATCCGCCCCGGGGGAGAGGCCGAGGCGGCCCGGCCCGGCCCCTCGTCCGCGAGACCCGAGCGGGGCCCGTGGGACGACCGAGTGGGGGCAGGAAGCCTGCATCCCCGGGGGCTCTGGAAAGAGGCTGAAAAACACACAGACAGGTCCGAAAGCCTAGGAGGAGGGACGCCCGGGCGACGGATGGCGGAGCACACGCGGACCCCGCGCTGCGGCACGCCTCGTCCTCAGAGCGCGGTGCTGTCCGCCCTGAAACGCAGGACGCCCGGCGCCCAGGGCCAGCAGAACCCCAAACGCACCCTCTTCCCAAATAAAGGGGAGGGGTGTCAGGAGCACACGCTCCCTCCCAGGGAGGAGGCCTGCACCCCCAGGGGCCCCCTGAAGGTGGAGAGCAGCCAGGTGACCGTGGCCGTCCGCGTGAGGCCCTTCAGCAAGAGGTGGGTCGGCCTTCGGAGCTGGTGTCCTGCTCCTCACGCCTGTCGGTGACGTTTTCTTTTCTTTTTCTTTGGTGACGTCTTTGTAGAGAGAACGCGGGCTGAGTTGTGGTGCGTCAATTATTTTAGCCCGGTGGTCGGCAGACTGTGGCTCGCGAGGCCCCTTGAGTGTTTAGCAAAGGCCAGCTTAGGAGTATCCTAATCAAGCCAATAACAGTGTACCTACCTATAGGGTTTAAGTTTAAAAAACGTGGCTCTCCAAAGAAATTTCGGTCGCCGTCCTGTTGGTATTTGGCTCAGTGGACCAGTGAGTTTGCCGACCGCTGTAAATTTTTAGGGCAGTGGTCGGCAAACTGCGGCTCGCGAGCCACATGCGGCTCTCTGGCCCCTGGGGTGTGGCTCTTCCACAAAAGACCACGGCCTGGGTGAGCGAGCCTGTGTGGAAGAAGTTTAAGTTTTAAAAATGTGGCTCTCCAGAGAAATCTCAATCGCTGTGCTGTTCAACCCCTGAGCCACACCGGCCGTTACATTTTCCACGTAAAATTGAACATCGTCCCGCCCGGAGGAGTGTTCTGTTGGACCCGCTGTGAGGTCCTCACGCTCGGAGCCGGGCGGTGACGGCCTCCCCCTGTCTGCCCCCGAAGGGAGCAGGAGGAGAGCGCGGCCCAGGTGGTCTTCCTGGACGGGGCGGACCTCGCCGTGCGGCACCCGGCCCTGCGGCAGGAGTTCCGCTTCCTCTACGACGCCGCCTTCTGGTCCTTCGACCGGAGCCACCCGCGCTACGCCGGCCAGGCCTCCGTGTACACCGCGCTGGCCGCCCCGCTGCTGGCCCGCGCCCTGGAGGGCTACAACGCCTGCCTCTTCGCCTACGGCCAGACGGGCTCCGGGAAGTCCTACACGTGAGTGCCGCCGCCGTGACGTGGCTGGGGGGGGGGGAGGGTGTGTGCGTGTGCATATGTGCGTGCGTATGTGCGTGTGTGTGTGTGTGTGTGTGTGTGAGAGAGGCGTGCGTGTGTGTGTGTGTGTGTGTGTGAGAGAGAGGTGTGTGTGAGCGTGTGCGTGCGTGTGTGCATACGTGTGCGAGAGGTGTGTGCACGTGTGTCCATGTGCATGTGTGTGCATGTGTGTGCATGCATGTGTATATGTGCGCGTGTGTGCGTGTGCGTGTCTGTCCGTCGTGAGAAGCGGCCTGCCCTGATGGACGGCACACGGTTCTGAGACCCCGGGGACCGGGGTCAGGTCTGCTCGGTGTACACGCCAGTCCCGCACCCGCAGTCCAGCTGCTCAGCCTCTGGGCTTCGGTTTATGCCCAGAGTCCTTGGCCTCTGTGAGTGTCCTTGGCCTCCTGTTACTGCGAAGCCAGCATGTCAAACCCAGAGGCTCCCGCGGGCCGGGTAAACAAGGCTGAAGTGTACGTGGGCCGCCACAGAGCACCAGCTTAAATGCTCACAGAAGCGCGGGTTTATCGCGACAGAGACACGCTGGAAACGAAGGGCTGGAACGAGTCATCGCGGACACAGAGCAATAGAACGTTTGTTTAATGAAAAGGAATATTTTTGCTTGAACATTAACTTTCCGGTCACTGAGTAACTGGGCAAATGAACAAACGTAACGCAGATAAACCTCTTTTTCTTGTTCTCCGGTCCAAGCCCAGAAGGAGGGGCAGGGAGGTGTGTTTCCTGGGCTGCTGCTCCCAGGACGACAGACTGGCCTGAGCCTCAGGAGCTCTGCCCTCCCCGCCCTGGACCGGAATCTGGAATCGGGGTCGGGGCTGTGCTCCCTCCGAGGGCGCCAGGGGAGGGTCCTCTCTGCCTCTCAGCTTCTGGGGCTCCTGGCCCCTCCAGCCTGTTCACCCGGCTTCCCCCCCAATCCACGTGCCCCCGTGGGGTGATCCCCTGGCCCCGCCCCCTGCTCAGCCTCCCTCCCCTCTTCGCTCAGGATGATGGGGTTCGGGGAAGAGCCGGGCATCATCCCCAGGTTCTGCGAAGACCTTTTTGCTCAAGTGGCCAAACACCAGACCCAGGAGGTAGGTGCCGGGTCTGCCGGCCTCGGGTTAGGCTGGGAGAGCCAGAGCGGGCGGTGTCAGGGCCGGGGCCCTCATGTCCCTCTGCGCAGTGGGGGCGAGGGCACCGGGCGGAGGGCAGCGGGTGCAGCAGTTGGAAAGTGAGGACCTGGGAGCAGTGGGGTCTGTAAACTGATTGCTCTGCTCTGAGTCGGAGGTGGAGGGCGGAGGGCTGAGGGCGGAGGAGGAGGAGGGGGACAGGAGGCAGTTTGCAGACCAGGCGAGGCTTGGGGGCGAGGTCGCAGCCTGAGCTCTCCTCCCAGGTCAGGTACCACCTGGAGATGAGCTTCTTTGAAGTTTACAACGAGAAGATCCACGACCTGCTGGTGGGCAGAGGGGGCAGCAGGCAGAGGAAGCAGCCGGTAAGAGGAGGCGTTGGTTCCTGTTTATGAACGCCTGCGGGTCCACCCGTCCACTGGCGGCACGGAGGACCCGCCTGCTGCTGTGTGATGGCAGGTGCCAGGGAGCTGCGGGTTCACTGTTACTGAGCCAGTCAGCTGACCACCACTCCGCTCGCTTCACAGCTGAGGGTCCGGGAGCACCCCGTCTCCGGGCCGTACGTCGAAGCTCTGGCCGTGTAAGTACCGTGTCCGCTGCATGTAAGTGCCGTGTGTTACGCGCAGACCGCGAATTACACGGGGTAGGATGTGCTTGGCGTTCTCCTCTGTCCCCTCTCCTGCTGATGTTTGCGTCTGCTCCTTACGACGCTGGGGGAGGAGGTGTGAGCTGAGTCATGGAAGAGTTTCGGTTTTTTAAATATTTTTTTAAGGAGAGGGAGGGGGGAGACAGAGAGAGAGAGAGAGAAACATCCACGATGAGAGAGGATCATGGACCGGCTGCCTCCCGCACGCCCCGCACTGGGGATGGAGCCTGCACCCCGGGCCTGTGCCCCGACCGGGAATTGAACCGGGAAGACGCTCAGGGGCTTCCCTGCTTCCTGTGCGAGGACAAGAGCGTGACCGGCTTTCTTTCCCTCCCGCAGGAACGCGGTGGGCTCCTACGCGGACATCCAGGTAAGCGGGGCCGCCCTCGCTCCACCCCTGCCCCCCCGGGAGCGTGGCCGTGGCCTGAGCGTGAGCAGACCCCCGCCTCCCCCGCAGGGCTGGCTGCAGCTGGGGAGCAAGCAGCGGGCCACGGCGGCCACCGGCATGAACGACAAGAGCTCCCGCTCGCACTCGGTGCTCACCCTGCTGATGACCCGCACCCAGGTGGGACCCGCCTCCGCCTCTTCCTCTCCCGTCAGTCAGCGGTCAGCGGACACTCCCGTAGGGACCTGACATCGTTGGGTTTTGGCAAATATAATACTTAACGACTGAGTCCGGTTTGGTGCACCTGGCTGTACGTTTTCCTTGCTGTTTATTTATTTAATTTTAAAAATATTTTATTGGTTTTTTACAGAGAGGAAGGGAGAGGGAGAGAGAGTTAGAAACATGGATGAGAGAGAATCATCCATCAGCTGCCTCCTATACACCCCCCCACTGGGGATGTGCCCGCAACCAAGGTCCATGCCCTGGACCGGAATTGAACCTGGGACCCCCCAGTCCACAGGCCCACGCTCTATCCACTGAGCCACACCAGTCCCGGCTTCCTCACTCTTTTAAAAACCAATAATATCTATTATTATTTGACCGCGATATCACGGGTGTCCTGTCCACACGCGATCCCTCCTGGTGACGCACGGGGAGCATGGGACCGTGTCTGGGAAACCCCATCAGAAAGGAAAAGGTTTCTCACGGTTCAGCCGTAGGGTCCGGGATGGGATACACGGCCCCTCCGCACACGATTGGGCTTCGCCTCTGCTCGTGGTGGTTTCCTTAAAGTAGGGGTGTCGAACTCAATCAGAGAAGGGGCCAAAATCTAAAATCCAGCCTAAATCGCGGGCCGAATGGTTTACTGAACAGTCATAAACTGTCATTGTGATGGAAACGCAGCGGAGTGCAGTGATGACAGCGCGGTGCGGGCCACATTGCAAGGCCTGGCGGGACGGATTTGGCCCGCGGGCCTTGTGTTTGACACATGTGCCTTAAAGGCTGTGGCCTCCTGTCCCCCTTCCTGTCGTTTCTTTCATGTTGGCACAATCCGAGCACGGCCCGGTGTGTTCGCAGCTGCGCCTTACTCACGATCGCAGGCCCAGGGAGGGGGCGCTCGGTTCTGCTAACAAGCGAGGGGCCTGTGCCCCCCTCACCGCTCTCCCTCCTGGGACCGACAGCCACGTCCACCCCCTTTTCCCGCAGACGGAGCTGGTGGACGGGGAGCAGCACGACCACGCGGTGACCAGCCGCATCAGCCTGGTGGACCTGGCGGGCAGTGAGCGCCAAGGGCCTGCGGGCACCAGCGGGCAGCTGCTGAGGGTGAGGGGCCGGGCCCGGGGGCGGGGCTCGCTCCCGGGGGCGGGGCTTCATGCTTCGGAGGTTACCAGGGAGACGCTCTCCTCCTGCAGCTCACAGGCTGCATGCTGGGGTGCAGAGGCCCCCGTTTTGGGGGTGGTCACTTTGCGGTAGCGGCAGGAAGTGGGGAGTCGGGAGACAGCCGGTGGCTTGTGGGAGAGGGCGTGGCGCCGCCCTGTTCTGAGCGGCGAGCTGACCCAGACGCGGTCTCTCCGGCACAGGAAGGCGTGAGCATCAACAAGTCCCTGCTGACCCTGGGCAAGGTCATCTCGGCGCTGGCCGAGCACGGGGGCCGACGCAGAGCCTTCATTCCGTACCGGGAGTCCGTCCTCACGTGGCAAGTGTCCTCTGAACTTTGTTTTTAAAGTTATTTTTTATTTTTTAAATATATTTTATTGATTTTTTACAGAGAGGAAGGGAGAGAGATAGAGAGCTAGAAACGTCGATGACAGACAAACATCGACCAGCTGCCTCTTGCACACCCCCTACCGGGGATGTGCCCGCAACCAACGTACATGCCCCTGACCGGAATCGAACCCAGGACCTTTCAGTCCGCAGGCCGACGCTCTACCACTGAGTCAAACCGGTTTCGGCTACTTTTTAAAATTATTTTAAAAATATATTTTTATTGATGTCAAAGAGGAAGGGAGAGGGAGAGAGAGAGAGAGAGATAGAAACATCCCTGATGAGAGGATCATGGATCCTGCACGCCCCCCACTGGGGATGGAGCCCACAACCCGGGCCTGTGCCCTGACCGGAATCAAACTCGGGACCCTTCCACCTGCCGGCCGGGGCGGCCCGCGGAGGGAGACCTCGCCCCGTGCCCCAGTTCCTGTCCCTGTGCTGGGTCTGCTCCGTGCGGGCTGGCCGGAGAGACCCGGGGGATGGCTGCGGGGCCCGGCGGAGGCTGACCCTGGCCCTGGCCCTGCCCCTGCCCCTGCCCGCCCTGCAGGCTGCTGAAGGAGAGCCTGGGCGGCAACTCGAAGACAGCCATGATCGCCACGGTGAGCCCGGCGGGCAGCAGCCTGGAGGAGACGCTGAGCACCCTGCGCTACGCCCACCAGGCCCGCAGCATCGTCAACGCAGCCCGCGTGAACGAGGACACGAGCGCCCAGCTCGTCCGCGGTGAGCGCCCCCTCCTGCCCCGCCCTGCGCCCCCTGCACCCGGGGCCTCGGGTGACAGTGTGGGCGACGGACGGACGGACGGACGGACGGACATAGGCGGCTTCAGAGCTCCTCCCGGGGCCATCCCTGCAGTGTGGGGGGAGATGACTCTGGATCAATCGTGCGTCTTCTTATAAATCTTTAGAACTGAAAGCAGAAATCGAGAAGCTGAGAGCTGCTCAGAGAAGCCGTCAGCACATCGACCCCGAGCGGTACCGGCTCTGTCGGCAGGAAATCGCGTCCTTACGGATGAGGCTGCACGAGCAGGAGCGAGCCATGGTGGCCATGCAGAGGTGGGGCCCGGAGCAGGCAGACCGGTGCAGGGCCAGGGGCCAGCGCGGGGTGGGCGGGGCCTGGACGGTGCGGCCTCGCCCACCCCGTCCCCCCTCCCCCTGCAGCTGCCCAGCCCCAGGCCATCTCATCTAATCCCAAGAGGCTTCAGAATCTTTGTTGATTGTTAATCGTATCTCTATACATCTATATATCTATATATATGTATATACACGTGTGTGTGTGTGTGTGTGTACTTTTAACTATGAATTCTGTTTTTGGAAAGAGCGTGGAAAGAAAAATTTGAGCAGGCCGAAGAAAGAAAGCATCACGAGATCAAGGAGTTACAGGTAGGCGCCGGGAAGGGCCAGCAAGACGCAGAGTAAGCGTGGAGTACCCGCTGCCCCCGTAGGAAGCAGGGCCCTACGGAGGGTCCGTGTCAGGGCGTGCGGTCAGGGCGGCGCTTGGGATGGGGCGTCGGGGCGTCACACGGGGAAGTCACCGCCCTTGGCTGAGCGCGGGGGGTGGCAGAGAGAAACCTCTCACCGCGTCAGCTCCTCACGAGCGCCTCCAAGCGTCTCCCACGGTCTCTCCTCCCTCCCACCCCGGCTCCAGCGAGCGGGAGTGACCTTCCAGGTGGACAGCCGCCTGCCCAACCTGGTGAACCTGAGTGAGGACCCGCAGCTGTCGGAGGCGCTGCTGTACGTGCTCCGGGAGGGCACCACCGCCGTGGGCCAGCGCGGCCCCGGCGCCGGCCCCGACATCCAGCTGGCCGGCGCGCTGGTGGCCGACCGGCACTGGTACGTCCGCCTGCCCCGGAGCGAGGGCCCGGCCGCTGTCCGCGGTGACCGATCGACTGCTCACGGGAGGCACGCGCGCGCGCGCGCGCCCGGGTCCCTGGCCTGGTCCTTCCAGTGCATCTTGCCTGGGCGATGACAGACTCGTCCCGTTCGTGGGGTCAGCCTTCCCCCCTTTCCTGTCCTGTTAGCACAAGGACGACTTCACTCTGGGCTTCTTTCCGGCTCCCTGGGTACAAAGGTGCTTTTAAAAGACGTGTACGTTTGTATCGGGGTCAGAGAGGAAGGGGGAGGAGAGGGAGAGAAACGTCCATGAGGAGAGAGAACCGTGGACCGGCTGTGGCCGGCTCCCTCCCCACAGCACCATCAGCAACGTCGACGGCACCGTGACCATCGCCCCCGTCGGGGAGGCCAGGACCTACGTGAACGGGAGGCGCGTGCTGGGGCCCACCGAGCTGCACCACGTGAGCGGCGCCGGGAGGCGGGCGGAGGAGGCGCTGGGCCCCGGGCAGGGCGGTCACGCACCCGAGTGTCCGGGAGGGACTCCTGTGCAGTTCTTTTTAAAAAAAAAACGTTTTGATCAACTTCAGAGAAGAAGGGAGAGGGGGAGAGAGAGAGAGAGAAACATCAGTGAGGAGAGAGAGCCATGGATCGGCTGCCTCCTGCACACCCCCTACTGGGGATGGAGCTCACAGCCCGGACCTGTGCCCTTGGCCGGAATCGAACCGTGACCTCCTGGGTCATAGGTTGATGCTCAACCCCTGAGCCACACCGGCCGGGCTTTGTGTGTGTGTGTGTGTGTGTCCAGCCCTAACGGTGTCTGCGGGAGAGGCCCCTGAGCGCCCTCTTTAAGTCTGCGCTCCGGGCTCCTCATGGGGCTGATGGTGACACGTCCGGAAGTGACACCTGCGGACAGTTCCGTGCTGCCCTCTGACCCCTGTTAACAACGCCGCCCGTCCCGGGTCCCTGAGCTGCGGGCGCTGTGTGTGCCGCAGGGCGACCGTGTGGTCCTCGGGGGCGACCATTACTTCCGGTTCAACCACCCGGCGGAGGCCCACAGCGAGCAGAGTGCGCTCGGGGGAGGCGCCCCGGCCGGCGAGGGCCCCAAGGACTTCGAATTCGCCAAGAACGAGTGGCTGGCGGCCCAGCGGTCGCAGTGAGTGTCGGGGGCCTGCGTCAGAGAGTTTGGGGGACAAAGGGGTGCAGGGGGAGGGCTGCCCGAAGTTTTTGTTTAATGGGAAACATCCTAAGACGACTCGGAGCTGCTGTGGTGATAATCACATGGAATGTAAACTGTGATAGAAAAAGCCCCCCCTGGCCGGTGTAGTTCAGTGGGCAGAGCCTCGGCCTGTGGACTGACGCTGCCATGGGCGTTGGTGCTTTGCAGGCTGGAGGCGGAGGTCCGAGAGGCGCAGCTGCGGGCCAAGCAGGAGATGCTGCAGGGCATCCAGGTGGCCAAGGAGGTGGCGGAGCAGGAGCTGTGCTGTCAGCGGGCCGCCTTCGAGGGCCGGATCGAGGCCCTGCAGGCCGAGCTGGTACGGGCGGGCCAGTCTCTCCCCACCCCGTGTCCTTTCCTGGACGGTGTACGCAGGCGACAGGTGGCTGCCGGGACCAGACAGGAGCCCTCTGGGCCAGGTGCTGCCTCTGGTCCGCCCCCTGCTGGGCGCCCCCGGAGCCTCCCTGGCCACCTGCTGATCTGAACCCTGACGTATGAAGCACCCAGTGACGCCCTCGCGAGGGGCCGGGCCGTCGATGGGGGGGTGGGAGGGTCACGGGGTCCCCCAGCCGCGTGAGCCCGGCTCTCCTCCCACCGCGCCCGGCTCCTGCTGCGGGGAAAGGCGGGGCCTTCTGCTCGCCCGGGAGCTGGGAGAAGTGCCGTCTGTTTGCCTGGTTGTTTACCCATTGCTTGTTTGCGATTGTTCTCCGAAGAAAGAGGAGTCCCAGCAGAAGCAGCTGCAGGAGGCGAGTACCCAGAAGGCCCATCTGCGCATCGAGGAGCTGGAGCGGGCCAAGCAGCGGCTGGAGCAGGAGGTGCAGGCCAACCGGCGGCGCCTGGAGCTGGAGCGGCTGGCGGCCCAGCAGGTGACTCCCGGCCGCGCTCCCGGGCTGGGCGGGGAGAAGCTGGGGTGTGCGGGGGAGAAGCGGGGCTGGTGGGGGAGAAGCCGGGCTGGGCGGGGGGAGAAGCTGGGCTGGTGGGGGAGAAGCCAGGGTGGGCGGGGAAAAGCCGAGGTGGGTGGGGCAAGCCGGGCTGGGCGGGGAGAAGCCGGGGTGGACGGGGGAGAAGCCGGGCTGTGCAGGGAGAAGCCGGGCTGGACAGTGGAGAAGCCAGGGTGGACGGGGGAGAAGCCAGGCTGTTAGGAAAAAGTGGGGAGAAGCAGGGCCGTCGGGGAGAAGCAGGACTTATTGTCACAGCATCACTCTCCGGCCGTCTCGTGAATTCCGGTGGCTCTCCGTGCCGACGGGAACACGCCGGGAGCTGGGCTGTCACGGCGGCGTGTTCCGCGGCCCTAACCTCTCTCCCACACGCACACGCGTGGCCCTGCACGCCCGGCCCAGGCGCTGGAAGACCACAGCGTGCGCCACACGCGGATCCTGGAGGCGCTGGAGGCCGAGAAGCAGAAGATCGCCCAGGAGGTGCAGGCGCTGCAGCGGGGCCAGGGCGGCCGGGACCGGGGCCCCTCGGGTGAGTGCGGACGGACGGCGTCGGCTTCCGCCCCGCGGCCCGGGCCGGAGGAGGGCGGCTCAGACACCCTCACCCTGGGACGCGGGTTAGAGCCGCTCAGCTTGTTTTATTTTTGTGGAGAGGATGGAAGGGGGAGGGAAGGGAGGGAGAGAGGGAGAGAAACATCGATGTGAGAGAGACACATCAATTGGTTGCTCCCACATAAGCCTCGACCAGTTCTGGGGATCGAACCTGCAACCAGGTACATGCCCTTTGACCTGGAATTGAACCCATGACCTTTGGTGGGAGGGTTGACGCTCCAACCACTGGGGCATCACTGCCAGGGCTAAATCATGAAGCGAGTGACTTTCCCAGGCCTGTCCTTCCCCGGGGGTTATTGCTAGAGTGTGCATGTGTGCGTGCATGTGTGTGTGTGTGGTGTGTCAGTATGCTTGTGTGTGCTGACTCCTGTGTGCCCGCTTCCAGTCCCAATGAGCTGTGTATATGTGTGCATGTGTGTCTTTGTGCATGCATTTGTGTGTGTGCGTGTACACTGACTTCCCGTGTGCTCGCTTCCAGTCCCGACAGCTGTGTGTGCTTATGTGTGTGCTTATGTGTGTGCATGTGCATCCGTGTGCATGCCCGTGTGTGTGTGTGTGTGTGTGTGTGTGTGCACTGACTCCCCGTGTGCTCGCTTCCAGTGGCGACGAGCTGGGGCTCCCTGAAGCTCTCGCTCATGATCCAGGAGGCCAACGCCCTCAGCGGCCGCGCGCAGAGGCAGTACGTGTTTGGCAGGTGAGCCTCGTGGCCCGGCTGGCGGTGGCTCTGCGCTGAGAGCGGTTTGCCTCCGCACCCTTCTCGGGAATCAGACACCTGTTTCAGTGACTCCGAAGAGAGCACGCCCTCACACGTTGTCCCCGTCACAACGCGGCTAATCCGGGCGGGTTTCCTCCCGGGCCCTCCGGCTCAGAAAGCTGTGGGTGCAGGTGACGGGCACGCGTGTCTGAGACGGCGCCCCCTCCGTGTGTTTCAGACACGAGGCGCCGGACGGAGGGGGCGGCCCCCGGGTCCGCGTGCGGGACCTGCGGCTCGGCGTGGCCACACTCTGGAGCCGGGAGAAGTTCGAGTCCAAGCTGGCCGCCCTGAAGGAGCTGGACGAGGTGCCGTGCTGTGACTTTCTCTGCGCTTTTAGAAAACAGTTTATTGGTTTCAGAGAGGAAGGGAGAGAGAGAGAAACATCCACAAGGAGAGAGAATCACGGATCTGCTGCCTCCTGCACGCCCCCCACTAGGCATCGAGCCTGCAACCCGGGCCTGCGCCCTGACCGGGAATTGAACCCTGACCTCCTGGTTCACAGGTCGACGCTCAACGACTCAGCCACACCGGCCAGGCCCTGCTTGTTTTTAATATCTGACTTTCTGTCTTCTAAAATCCTACTCCACGTGGGAGTTTTTAATCACCTAACCAGCCTCGTCTCAAAGAATGAAAATAAAAGGGAGGGTGGGGTGGCAAAAAGAGGTGCGGGTCCCAGTCGGTCTCGTGAGGAAGCCCTTTCGAGCCTCAACCAGACAAATCCGTGAACGGCCCCAGAGCGATGGATCAGGATCGACCGAAAGCCACAGCCCCGGAGAGATGACTCAGACGAGGACCACAAGCCGATGGCGGTGCGAGCGAAGCTGTGAGCCCAGATGCTCATGAGTCAGACCCCACGGCGCTCAGGGCCCTGGCTCCGGGGCCGGGCGTGCTCACAGGACCCACCGCCGGGAGGAGGCGGACCGGGGTGCCCTCGGCGTGACGGACGGGCTGCGGGGGTCCTGCTTTCTCTGTGTGGATACGTGTCAGTAACTTCCACATTCCCTACGTGGCCGGTGTGGCTCAGTGGATTGAGCGGCGGACTGAAGGGCCCCGGGTTCGATTCCGGTCAACGGCACACCGCCCGGGTTGCAGGCTCGATTCCCAGGGGGTGTGTGTGTGCAGGAGGCAGCCGAGCAAATGATTCTCATCACTGATGTCTCTCTCTCTCCTTCCCTCTCTGAAATCAGTAAAAACATATCTTGAAGATGTTAACGAAAAGCGAAACGTGACCACGTGTTTAGGTCGATGACAAACAGAAGCCGTCTGCTTTCCCCCCCAGAGTGCCGGCAAGTGCGAGGAGGAGCTCTTCTGCGACCCCGAGGACCAGTGGGAGCCCGACCTCTCGGCCGCGCCCGCCGCCGCCCTCTCCCGGAGGAGGTAGGCCGCCTGCCGGCCCGCCGGCCGGCTCCGCACACGGCTGTGTCGCTGCCTTGTTTTTCATTTCATTTTATTTTACTTATTTTTTATTTTGTTTTATTTATTCTTATTTTATTTTATTATTTATCTTATTTTTTATTTTATTCTTATTTTATTCGTTTTTTGTTTTTTATTTATTTTATTTTAATTTTATTTATTCTTATTTATTTATTATTTTATTTTATTTTATTTTGGTTCAGCCTCAGCCGAGGATATTTTTCCCGTTGGTTTTTGAGAGGAGAAGGGAGGAGGAGGGAGAAGCATCGATGTGGGAGAGACACGTGGATGGGCTGCCTCCCACGTGAGCCCTGACAGGCAGCGGAGCCCACAAGGCACACGCTCTTGACCTTGAGGGGTCCCGGGGCCGGGGCTGGGCCGGGATGGAGCCCGGGCGGGAGCCCTGCTTGCGGGCGGGCGGGCGGGCGGGCGTGACCTCCTCCCCCTTCCCGCAGGAGCCGGAGCCTGGTGAGGCATCGCGGGGTCTCCGGCTACCTGCACGGCGCCCAGGCCCACACGGCCCCGTCAGGTGGGTGGCGGTCGCCGGGCGACCCTGTGACCCGGTGCCGGGCGGGCCGGGCCTGTGTGCCGGGAGGGACGCCGGGGGCGGGCTGGGCCTGTGTGCCGGGAGGGACGCCGGGGGCGGGCCGGGCCTGTGTGCCGGGAGGGACGCCGGGGCGGGCCGGGCCTGTGTGCCGGGGAGGGACGCCGGGGCAGGCCGGGCCTGTGTGCCGGGAGGGATGCCCGGGCGGGCCGGGCCTGTGTGCCGGGAGGGACGCCCGGGCGGGCCGGGCCTGTGTGCCGGGAGGGACGCGCGGGAGGGCCGGGCCTGTGTGCCGGGAGGGACGCGCGGGAGGGCCGGGCCTGTGTGCCGGGAGGGACGCCCGGGCGGGCCGGGCCTGTGTGCCGGGAGGGACGCCGGGGGCGGGCCGGGCCTGTGTGCCGGGAGGGACGCCGGGGGCGGGCCGGGCCTGTGTGCCGGGAGGGACGCGCGGGCGGGCCGGGCCTGTGTGCCGGGAGGGACGCCGGGCGGGCCGGGCCTGTGCTGGGCTCCGGGCTGAGGCCGGCTCCCGTCCCACAGGCTCCGGGGAGCCGCCTGGCGCCCTGGGCTCCGGCCCTGCGGGGCCCGCGCTCCCTGGGATCTGCCGGGAGCTGGTGGGCGCGGCCCTGGCCGTGCTCGGGCGGAGCGGCGAGGAGGACACGGCGGCGGACGGCCTGCTGGACGGTCTCCGGCGGGTGCACGGGGGGCTGCTGGCGCTCGCCCGGGCCCACAACGCACAGGACGAGGACGGCCCCGGCGACTGTGAGCAGCCCTCCCCGGCCCCGGCCCCCAGCCCCCGGCCCTCCCGCCCCTCAGCCCCCCCGGCCCCCAGCCCCCCGGCCCTCAGTCCCCCGGCCCCTCAGGCCCCCCCAGCCCCCCGGCCCCTCATTCCCCCCAGCCCCCCGGCCCCTCAGTCCCCCCCAGCCCCCGGCCCTCAGTCCCCCCCAGCCCCCCGGCCCCGGCCCCCAGCCCCCCCGGCCCCCCCGTCCCTCCCCGGCCCCTCAGCCCCCCCCAGCCCCCCGGCCCCTCAGTCCCCCCCAGCCCCCCCGGCCCCTCAGTCCCTCCCCGTCCCAGCCCCCGGCCCCCCGGCCCCCAGCCCCCCCCAGTCCCCCGGCCCCTCAGTCCCATCCCAGCTCCGCAGCCCCTCAGTCCCTCCCCAGCCCCCAGCCCCTCAGTCCCCCCCAGCCCCCCGGCCCTCAGTCCCCCCCAGCCCCCCGGCCCCCAGTCCCCCCCAGCCCCCCGGCCCCTCAGTTCCTCCCCAGCCCCTCAGCCCCCCCCGGCCCCCCGGCCCCTCAGTCCCCCCCGGCCCCCCGGCCCCTCAGTCCCTCCCCAGCCCCTCAGCCCCCCCCAGCCTCCCGGCCCCCCGGCCCCTCAGTCCCCCCCGGCCCCCGGCCCCTCAGTCCCATCTCAGCTCCGCAGCCCCTCAGTCCCCCCCAGCCCCCCGGCCCCTCAGTCCCCCCCAGCCCCCCGGCCCCTCATTCCCCCCAGCCCCCCGGCCCCTCAGTCCCCCCCAGCCCCCCGGCCCCTCAGTCCCCCCCAGCCCCCCGGCCCTCAGTCCCCCCGGCCCCCAGCCCCCCGGCCCCTCAGTCCCCCCCCGGCCCCTCAGCTCCCCCCAGCCCCCAGCCCCCCAGCCCCTCAGTCCCTCCCCAGCCCCCCAGCCCCTCAGCACCCCCCAGCCCCCCAGCCCCTCAGCACCCCCCAGCCCCCCAGCCCCTCAGCACCCCCCAGCCCCCCAGCCCCTCAGCCCTCCCCAGCCCCCTGCGATGTCCCGGCGGCGGGGGTGGTGCGGGAGGGGCGGGCGGTGCGGGCGGTGGGTCCGAGCTCCCGGGCGAGGCCTCCCGTCCTCTCCCCTCAGTGTTCTCCGCGGACCCCACGGCCCAGGCGCAGGCGGTGCAGGTGGCCTGCGCCTTCGGGCAGCTGGCGGCGCTGGCCCCGCTCTGGCCGGGGGACGCCGTGCCCGGGGCCCCCGCAGCCCGGCTGGGCGAGGAGCTGCGGCAGGAGGTGGAGAAGCTGGGCGGCTGCGTGCAGCTGTTCCTGCAGGTCAGTGCGTGTGCGGCTGTGCGGGAGGCGTGTGCTCTGTGTGTGCCGGCCTCCGCCGTGGGCGGGCCGGGCCGGGCCGAGCTGGAGGCCAGGACTGATAAACGGGCCTGTCCACGCAGGGCTGCTCCTCGGACATCCCGTCCATGGTGGCCGACGCGCAGGAGAGGGCCGCCCGGGCCGTGCGACGGGCCGTGGCCTGTGCGGGGCAGCTGGCCGTGCTGAGCGGGAGCCGGCCGCGTCTCCTGGACCCCGGGCCCTGCGGGGGCGCCGGCCTGCAGGTGAGAGCTCGGTGGGTCCGTCCGCGCTGGCGAGAGCGGGCCGCGGCTGGCGAGTCCTCTTTGTGCCTCTCGGCCTCTTGGTTCGGGGACGGCGGTTACCGTGAGGTCACCGGGAGGAGCTGGTTCCAGGGAGTCTGTCTGCGGGCTCAGCCCCGGCTGTGGACGCATTATCGGGGTCCCCCTGGCTGTGGGCACAGGGGGGTCCCTCTGGCTGTGGGCAGTGTGGGGGTCCCTCTGGCTGTGGGCACAGGGGGGTCCCTCTGGCTGTGGGCACAGGGGGGTCCCTCTGGCTGTGGGCACAGGGGGGTCCCTCTGGCTGTGGGCACAGGGGGGTCCCCCTGGCTGTGGGCACAGGGGGGTCCCTCTGGCTGTGGGCACAGTGTGGGGGTCCCTCTGCTCAGCACTGTGTCTGCGGGCACTGCTCCCGCTGGAGCCTGAGTCTGGCCGGTGCCTCCCCAGGAGGACCTGGCGGACGCCCTGTGGGACGGAGTCGGCGCGGGGCTGCGGCTGCTCATCGACTCCGGGCTGGAGCGGGCGGGGGCGCTGCGGAGTGAACTCGCTGGCCTGCGCCCCCCGAGCGAGGTAACACACGGGGCTCCCGCTGGTTTTCATTGACGTCAGAGAGGAAGGGAGAGGGAGGGAGAGAAGCGTCCTCGCTGAGAGAGAACCACGGACCGGCTGCCTCCTGCACGCCCCCCACTGGGGAGGGAGCCCGCACCCCGAGCCTGTGCCCTGACCGGGAATCGAACCCTGCCCTCCGGGCTCCTAGGTCGATGCTCCGCCCCTGAGTTTGTGTGTGTGACTCCATGAACTAGACGGTTGCAGATGCACGTGTTTGGACGTGTGGCCTGTGTCCCTGTGGAAAGGCTGCTGGGAGCTGCGGGCCCGCAATGGGCTGGTCCCGGGGGATCCCGGTGAACCTTCGGCCGGTGGAGCGGCAGTGACACCTGCTGGCCACTTCCCGTCCTCTCTTCCCTTTGCTCCGTCTGCTTCTCCACTCTGAGCCCAAACCGCAGGGACGGTTCCGAGCGACTTCCCCGATCAGCCTCCTCGGTGCCCTGACAGCAGCCTGACCCGCCTCTGGGTGGCGCCCGGGGGGCGGGGCGTCCCGGGTTCGTGCTTCTGAGGGACGTGTGGGTACGACCAGCTTGTCCTCTCCCTCCAGGCGGCCCAGCAGCTGAGCGCCAAGGCCGAGGCGCTGGCCGGGGGCCTGGAGGCCGTCCTGGCCTCATGGGGAGCGGTGAGCCCGGCCCGGCCTGTGTGTGTCCTCCCGGCCTGTGTGTGTCCTCCCGGCCTCTGTGTGTCCCGTGTGTGTCCTCCCAGCCCGGCCTCTGTGTGTCCTCCCGGCCTGTGTGTGTCCTCCCGGCCTGTGTGTGTCCTCCCGGCCTCTGTGTGTGTCCTCCCGGCCTCTGTGTGTGTCCTCCCGGCCTCTGTGTGTCCTCCCGGCCTGTGTGTGTCCCGGTGTCCGTCCTCCCGGCCTGTGTGTGTGTCCTCCCGGCCTCTGTGTGGCCTCCCGGCCTGTGTCCGTCCTCCCGGCCTGTGTGTGTCCCGTGTCCGTCCTCCCGGCCTCTGTGTGTGTCCTCCCGGCCTCTGTGTGTCCTCCCGGCCTGTGTCTGTCCTCCCGGCCTGTGTGTGTCCCGGTGTCCATCCTCCCGGCCTGTGTGTGTCCCGGTGTCTGTCCTCCCAGCCCGGCCTGTGTGTGTCCCGTGTGTGTCCTCCTGGCCCGGCCTGTGTGTGTCCCGTGTCCGTCCTCCCGGCCTCTGTGTGTCCCGTGTCTGTCCTCCCGGCCTGTGTGTGTCCTGGTGTCCGTCCTCCCGGCCTGTGTGTGTCCCGGTGTCCGTCCTCCCGGCCTGTGTGTGTCCCGGTGTCCGTCCTCCCGGCCTCTGTGTGTCCCGGTGTCCGTCCTCCCGGCCTGTGTGTGTCCCGTGTCCGTCCTCCCGGCCTCTGTGTGTCCCGTGTCTGTCCTCCCGGCCTGTGTGTGTCCTGGTGTCCGTCCTCCCGGCCTGTGTGTGTCCCGGTGTCCGTCCTCCCGGCCTGTGTGTGTCCCGGTGTCCGTCCTCCCGGCCTGTGTGTGTCCCGGTGTCCGTCCTCCCGGCCTCTGTGTGTCCCGGTGTCCGTCCTCCCGGCCTGTGTGTGTCCCGTGTCTGTCCTCCCGGCCTCTGTCCCGGTGTCTGTCCTCCCGGCCTCTGTGTGTCCCGGTGTCCGTCCTCCCGGCCTCTGTGTGTCCCGGTGTCCGTCCTCCCGGCCTGTGTGTGTCCCGTGTCTGTCCTCCCGGCCTGTGTGTGTCCCGTGTCTGTCCTCCCGGCCTCTGTGTGTCCCGGTGTCCGTCCTCCCGGCCTCTGTGTGTCCCGGTGTCCGTCCTCCCGGCCTGTGTGTGTCCCGGTGTCTGTCCTCCCAGCCCGGCCTCTGTGTGTCCCGTGTCTGTCCTCCCGGCCTCTGTGTGTCCCGTGTTTGTCCTCCCGGCCTCTGTCCCAGTGTCCGTCCTCCCCTCGGCTCCCGGCCGGCACGGCGGTCTCAGTCTGACCCCTCGTCGGTGACCCCACGGAGGGGGAGGGGGAGGGACGAGGCCGTCCCGCGTTCTCACACTCGCTCTGTTCGCAGGAGGAGCCTGGCGGGCGCGGGGCCCTGAGGGCGTTGGCGGGCCTCGCCCCGGGGCTGTGGGAACTGACGGGCTGCGTGGAGCGGACGGTGGACGCTGTGCTCGCCGCCCTGGGAGGTGCGTGCTGGGGGGAGGGGGGGCGGCCGCCCTGGGAGGTGCGTGCTGGGGGGAGGGGGGGCGGCCGCCCTGGGAGGTGCGTGCTCGGGGTGGGGGGGGGCGGCCGCCCTGGGAGGTGCGTGCTCGGGGTTGGGGGGGGGTGGCCGCCCTGGGAGGTGCGTGCTCGGGGGCGGCCGTACTGTCGGGCTCGTGGTGAAAGGGGTAGAGGCTTCTCCTCGCTCCTCCTCCGTCTGTTGCCTAAACCTCGCCGGTGCTGCCTCCTGCATTAGTCACCGACCGGGACCCTGTGAGGGCGGGTCAGACCCCGAAAAGCCCGTCCTTACAAGCACCCACCTGCCCTGGGCGGCCGGTGTGGCTCAGTGGATAGAGCGCCAGCCCGCGGACTGAAGGGGCCCCGGTTCGATCCCCGGTCAGGGCACAGGCTCCATCCCCGGGGGGGGGGGGGGGGGGGGGGGGGGGGGGTGGGGGGGGGGGGGGGGGGGGGCGAGCAGGGGGCAGCCGACCCCTGGTTCTCTCTCGCCGTGGGTGCTGCTGCCTCTGCCTCTCCCTCTCCCTGCCTCGCCCGGGAGGGGCCGGGCAGTGACTCTCCTCTCCTGCCCAGGACGCCGTGGTGACGGGGCCGCCCTCCGGACCTGCGTGGAGAGGCTCTGCGTCCCGGCCGGGGCCGGCGGTGCCGAGTGCTGCGCCCGGGGCCTCGGGGACCTGGCGGCCGCGGCCAAGGCCCTGCTCCTCTGCCTGGAGGCCGGGGACGGGGCCGCCCCCTCGGGGCCCTGGGGGCCGCGCCCTGGGGACAGCGGGGAGGGCCGCCGGCCGCCGAGCCCCGGGGGGCGCACGCCCGGGGGCTCCCAGTGGGTGTGAGGGCGGGGGGCGGGGCGGGGCGGGCCGTTCGCCCACGCGGGGGGAACACAGGAAGCCGGGCTCGGCGAGGACCGGGCGTGCGGTCTCCATGGAGCCCGCGTCTGCTGCTGGGCCTGGACGGGCTCTGGTTTCGGGGGCCCGGCCGGGGGCCCTCAGCAGCGTGTCAGACGGCCCTGATGGACACGTGTCAGACGGCGCGGACGGACACGTGTCAGACGGCGCGGACGGACACGTGTCAGACGGCCCTGATGGACACGTGTCAGACTGCGCGGACGGACACGTGGGCCCTCGTGGCTCCTCGTGGCTCCTCGTGGCCTCGGCTCTCCCCGGCCTGCCTGCCTGGCTGGCCCGCTCCCGCCGGCTGTGCTCCTGGAGGACGGAGCCACGCCCGCTCCCTGCGGTCCGCGCGGAGCTCGGGGCGGTGGGGGGCGAAGCGGCCGCGCGGTTTGGGGCGGCTGAGCCTGCGCTCCCCGGCCGCTCGCTCTCCCCTCCGAGGCCGAGCGCCGCCTGCTCAGGGCGCCCCCGGGGTCCAGGCCAGGGCACGGCGACGCAGAGGACACGCCTCCCGTCCGTCCATCGCAGCCGGGGCTCACACGGACCGTGCGCGTGGGCAGAGCCCGGCTCGGCTCCCGGGCGGGCCGGCGGGCGGAGGCACGGAGACGGAGGGTCCCTGGGCCTGTCACGTCACGGAAAACACCCCTTCGCGTCCTCCACCCCTGAGGAGAGGCTGTTTCCGCCCGGCCTCCAGCACCGCGGCCGGCGGTCCGAGAGGCCCCTGGGACCAGTGACCCCGAGCGGCGCCTGGGAGCCCGCCGCCCTCCCCCGCCTCCCTGGGAGCCCGCCGCCCTCCCCCGCCTCCCTGGGAGCCCGCCGCCCTCCCCCGCCTCCCTGGGAGCCCGCCGCCCTCCCCCGCCTCTTCCCGGCAGTGCCTGTGCCGGCCGGCGCGGCTGCGGGAACCTGCGCCCGCCCCCCGGTGCGCCCCCCCCCCACCCGGTGCGCCCCGTCCCCCCCCCCGTGCGCCCCGTCCCCCCCCCCGTACGCTCCCCCCCCCCCGTGCGCCCCGTCCCCCCCCCGTGCGCCCCGTCCCCCCCCCGTGCGCCCCGTCCCCCCCCCGTGCGCCCCGTCCCCCCCGTGCGCCCCGCCCCCCCCCCCGTGCGCCCCGTCCCCCCCGTGCGCCCCGCCCCCCCCGTGCGCCCCGCCCCCCCCGTGCGCCCCGTCCCCCCCCCCGTGCACCCCGTCCCCCCCCCGTGCGCCCCATTCCCGCCCCCCCCCCCGTGTGCCCTCCCCCCCCCCCCCGTGCGCCCCGTCCCTGTAGGGGCAGCCGCCGGGCACACTGGCCGTGCAGCCGCCCCGTGTGGAGGTCCTCGGTGTCCCCGGAGCTGTGCGTGGGGCCCGCAGCGAATCTGCTGCTTATATTTAATGTTGGCATCTGGCTGTGCCCCCCTGGACGCGCTGTGTGTGTGTGTGTGTGTGTATGAGTGTGAATGTGTGTGTGTGTGTGTGTGTGTGAATGTGTGTGTGTGAATGTGTGTGTGAATGTATGTGTGTGTGAATGAGTGTGTGTGAATGTGTGTGTGTGTGTGAGTGTGAATGTGTGTGTGAGTGTGTGTGTGTATGTGAGTGTGTATGTGTGAGTGTATGAGTGTGAATGTGTGCGTGTGAGTGTGTGAATGTATGTGTGTGTGAGTGTGTGTGTGTGAGTGTGTGAGTGTATGTGTGTGAATGTGTGTGTGTGACTGTATGTGTGTGTATGTGTGAGTGTGTGTGTGTGTGAGTGTGTAGAGGCAGGGCCCTGCTGAGTGCCCGGGGCTCTGTCCCCGTGGGGACTTCCGGAAGCTTCCACCTGTTCGGCGAGCTTGCTGGCGCACAGTGCGTGGTTTTTAACTTCAGGCTCAGGAGGAACCTTGACCTGCTGCTGCCTCAGCGTCAGTGGTCAGAGGCCTCTGGGGTGTATTGTAAACTGTATTTACGTCTTTATAGTATTTATACCCAATAAACCGAATGCAGTGTGAGTGTGTGTGTGTGCGTGCCGGGGGCGGGGGGGTGTGCGTCCTTCCAGAATCATGTGCCCAATAAAGGAATCGTACCAAACTGCCCGCTGCACACTGTCTCCTGGCTAAGGTGCTTTGGTTTTATTCACTTTATTCCTGACTCAAGATTATATATATATATAGTATATATAGCACCGCCTCTGAACAGGAGGCCACGGTTCGATTCCCGCTCCGGGCACAGGCCTGGATCGCAGGCTGGACCCCCAGTGTGGGGCGTGCGGGAGGCAGCCGGTCTGTGATCCTCTCTCATCCTCGATGTCTCTCTCCTCCCCCGCTTCCTCTCTGAAATCAATAAAAGTACATTAAACGCAGACAAACAAGCTCCGGGCTGCGGTGCATTTCGCTTGGCCTTTGACCCCGAGCTCTCAGCCCAGGGGGGGGCACGTCCGATAGGCGATCGGCCGTTCTGCTCACGCAGCCCTGCAGGGTCCTGGGGGCCGGGGCTGTGAGGATGTGCCTTGTTACCCTCAGCGCCGCCCCCAGTGGCCCCGCTGACGGGCGGGCGGGCGCCCTCTGGAGGGGGTGAGGCAGGCCGTCACCTGGAGTCCCTGTCCTCACGGGTTCCTCACGGGACCTCACGGGTTCGCCTGGTAAAACCTGCGTTTTGAGGGACAAAAGGAAGGCTCCTCTCCC